CACACAACCCCCTGGGGGGAAAAAAAAAAAGATCTGCAGCCCTGCAGACTTCAGAGCCCCCCCCTTGACTTCAGCGGGCGGCAGGGCGCCGGCCCGGCTTAATGGCCGGAGAGCGTGGCTGGAGGTGTGGAGGATGAGGGTCCGCCACCGCGAGTGGAGATGACAGTTACTCGTCGGCGTAGGGTGCCGTCAGATCCGGGGATGAGAAACCTCTTCTTGCAGCGGAGGGCAGGGCTTTGCCCTCTTGAGTGTCGTGCTGAAGGATCTGACAGAAACTGCCCTATATTTCAAAGGACAGAGCTTAACAGGACAGGATAGGTCTGGAGCGTGGAGGAAGCCAACGCCGACTGTACGATAGCTGTGGCGAGCAAGAGAATCGTTCTTGAAATCTGTGCGGTTGCTGGATTGTGAAGGCAGGAGCTGGTCCAGCAGATAAAATGTTTTCAAACTGTTTATCAGTATTTGCATGTGGTGATTGTGCCCAAAATTGGGGAAATACACATACGAGTAACTTGGGTTGGCCATTTGTTTGCAGAGTTAACCGACTTAGGTGTGTAATCACAGTAATTGCCCGGATAATTGCGTGCCTAAGGTTTAAAAATTTCCTCCGTGGTTTCCCTTCCCTCATCCTATATATTTTCTTCACCTCTGGCTTTCAAGTAGGCAGACCTACTGTTGAAACCTCAGCGTCGACTTTTATGCCTACTCTATTCAAATCCATTTCTACAAGGTGCTTTTAATCTCTAGGACGTCCCCTCACAAAAACTGTATTTTCCACTTTTTAATCTGTAATTTAAATAAACAGATGTTCCGTCATGTGTTTTCCTCCCCCCCATTTCCTCCTACATACCCTAAATACCTTTAATTTTGAAAAGACTGAGAATAAACCTGATTAATGAAAATGAAATGTCTTCTAACTCCAGCATGTTTTAAATTACCTCTTTACTTTATATTGCGACAGAGTCCGACCAGCGCCTTCCTAGAAAGAGCTCCATTAAAATGCAAATGAAGACTTCGCAGAAGTTGTCTGTTAATACGATGAAGGACGCAATTTCTTAGACCTAAGCAACACGAAATCGTCACCAGGTGGGGTTTCCCGCTGCCACCTGCTCTTTCTGCGCACACAATCCCGTGTCTTCGCCTCGTCGTACGCGCCTTTTCCAGTCTCTGTCACCTGTGGGTGAAGAGCACCGGAACTAAACAGCCAAAATCCCTTTTCCACCCGAAATGCTCAAGCCGGTTTTCGTGTGACGCTATCCCCCCTGCGCCTGCAGGTGTTAAATCCTTCTGTGCTTTAAGTCTTTCTTTTTTTTAGGCTCCACGCTGAAATGTGAAGGTTAGAGGGGCTGACTGAAGGTTAGAGGGGCTGACTGAAAATGGAGCTATATCTTTATGCAAATACATCGATTTTGCATAAAATCTATATTATACCTGGTTGCAGCTACAGGCTCTCCTGCCTTTCCTCGCTCCTCCGTATTTGAGACCGAGCTCCCCCTGCCATCCCAAAGCTCCTCAGGTTCAGCACGTACGTTCCCTTCCTCTCCTCCTACCCAGCTTTTCTTCCTCGGGTCTTTGTTGGAAGAAAGTATTTATTTATGTAGTATTTATTTGTGTGTCAGGCTGGGCTGACTCCCCCAGAGCAGCAGCAGCTGCAGCCTGGGCACTGCCCTGGGGAACGCGCTCCAAGAGGGGGAGGGTGGCGGCAGGCCGAGTTTCCCAAAGCTGTTCCGCACAAAGGATTTCAGGAGACTTGAAAAGGTTTAATATGCTTTTGCCAATCACACTCCCCCCGCCCTCCTTTAATTCGAAGTTTGTGTTCTATTTTAGGTAAACACTGCAATTACTCGGCCTGTCCTTAGAAGAGGGGTGGTTTCTCCTCATAAAGAAGGAAAGAACGTGCGTGGAAAAAAGAAGAGAATAGGAAAAAAGAGGAGCTGGAGGAAAAATCAGGGTAGTTTGTGTGATTTTTTGTGTGCAAAGCACCATAAACAAGATGCACAAAGCAGAGGTTAAGAGCATAACGATGCGCCTCTGCAGAGAAATGTCAGGGATTACAGACCGCGTGTTTCCAGCCCAAGTCGACGTCCTTTGCACGCCACCGTGTCACGGGTTTCATCAAGGCAGAGACTGCTGGAGGTGAGGACTGTAATCGCACCGCTGATAGTTTTTAGCACTGGGGGAACAGGTAGAAGTCATATTCCTGTAGCACAGGAGAGTCTGGACTCGCCCCGACGCGTTCCCTTTGCTTTCTTTACGAAGAGCATGCGAGCGCTCGGACGTACCCCCAGCCCGCGGCACAGCCAGGCGGAAGCCGCGTGCCGATGCTTAGCGGCTAGTCGTCCTCACTGGCTGCCCAAATTAAGCGCGCACGGACTTGCGCGCATGTCGTTCAATTCTGCCGCCTTGCTCTGCGTCCCTGCACGCCTGTGATCGCCCGCTAGACAATCTCGGAGACCGTACCGCTGCTAATAAGCTGGCCCTCGCGTGCACCGTCCTCCTCCTGTCCCCTGTGCCGGGGTAAGGTGGGGCCGGACTGGGGAACGGCCATAGAGGAAAGCTCCCTGGGTTGCTGCCTTCGTACCGCATCCCATTTGCAAAATCATCCGTTCTCATTCCAGCTCCTCTCTCCAGCTCCGCTCTACCTTGTACGTATCTCAGTTGTGGGAGATTTTGCATTTGACAAATTAAAATGAGTTCTTGTGCGTCCTTGCCCTGTGGTCAGTTTGGAAGCACGTTGAGAGCACCCAAGTGGCCTAATTACCCTGTTTTTTTCCCCTACAAAAGTTTTGTGCTTTGAAATAGAGGTGCAAAAAAATCCCGAGCTCGCAGCGATCCCCCTTTTTGTTTCCACGTTCTGTACTCGGTAGACACGGGTCTCCATCGCCGAAGGCTGTTCTTCCCTCACAACAGCAGGAAGAAAGCCGTTTCGCAGGGCTCTGCTCCTCACGGCAGCTCTGGATCCCTGAAAATCCTGGGACCATCAACTTTGTTAAGCAAGTTAGAGCAGCTCACTGATGTCGGAGGAAAGGGTTAAAGGACCCACATTCCTGTCCCTATTGCTCCGATCAAAGGTCAGGCGGTTCTTTAGGTGAAGGAAGGGAGGGAGGTGGTGTGCAGCCCTGACCAGGTCATTTGGGGAGTAAACCACATCTGAGGCGAGCTAATGAAGCAGTATTTGTCTCTCTCACAGGCGCATACTCCCGGTCTGTGCCGGGCAAGTTAGAATTCCTTCTCTAGTGGGAGTGAAGATGTCGATTGTATTTTTTCCATGATGTGTATTGAGGCATTTGCTAGGTTGTGGGAGTAAACACTTGGGGGAATTCTCCGTGAGCTAGCAAGGGCAAGTCACAAGCCTACTAAATATGGTGAATGAAGATTACAAAAAACCCCTGGAGAATAAAACTCCCTCTTTCCACCCCATCTCCCCACCACCACCACCACCCCCGCATATTTTTTCTCATTATCGTGCACTGCTGTTTCACCGCTTGCCGGGTAAATCTGTTGCCATTTGTGTGACTAAACACAATTGTGCTGCTTTAGTTTTTATTTTCAGTACTGAAGGGCGGCACTGGGGTGGTCCTTCATGCCTTCGCCACTAACCGAGGCGCACCGCACCGTCCTGCTAGAGAAAGCAGAGACACCAAATATTCAACGGAGGGGAACAGCAGGAAATGCTCTCAGGTCTGTAAATACTTGAGGGGGTGAGAGATGATGTTCATGTACAAAATATTTGCACAGCCTCATCCCACTGACCTCCTTTGGTGCTGCTCTTGAAAGGGATTGGCCGGAGTCAGAAACAGTTGATCTTTAATGGTCCAAAAATACATTCCCTTTCAAAGCCTCTCAAGTGGAGAAGCATCCAGGCTGCCAAATTCGGTCCCCCCTCCCAACTCCTCGTGGCCTGGCTGAGTTCAGCTCTGGGGTGTTTGTTTAGGTTCACCCAAGGCTGTAGGTGATGGTAAGG